ACCAAGGTTGGACACCCCTGTTTTAAAGTATTCAGCACAAAAGCTTAATTCTTTTCCAGTTCCTGTAACTTTGATCCATCCTTCCCCAGGTTTCCTATCTATCCCAGCCTCCAGAAGTACAGACATACAGTAGCATCTCTTAGAACCGTGATGGTGAACCTATGGCACAGCCATTTATGTGGGCACACGAGCCTCAGCCAAACTTACCTGCACTGCGCATGTCCCAGCTGATTTCTGGCCCGTTTGAGGCTGTTTTCGCCCTCCTGGAAGCTCGAGGGAAGCCTCTGCAGCTCGGGAGGCTGAAAAACGGGCCTTCCGGAAATGCCAAAACAGGCCCATTTTCAGCCTCCCGAGGCTGCAGAGGCTACCCTCGAACCCCCGGTGCAAACGGCCTCCCCGGGCTCCAGAGGCCCTCCGTAGGCTGAAAACAGGCACTTCCCGGTATTTCCGGAAGGCCCGTTTTTTGCCCTCCCGAGACTGCAGAGGCTTTCTTCGAGCGCATGCACGGGGGGGGGGGGGCACATTGCATTGTGGGCGCTGGCACGTGCGCACTTTTGGCGCACCGCAACGAAAAGGTTTGCCATCACTGCCTTAGAACAAGGGTGTCAAACTCAATGTCATTGAGGGCCGCATCAGGGTTGTGTTTGACCTCCAGGGTGGGTGGGAGGGGTGGGTGGTGAGGTGGTTGTGGCCAGCTCGATGTCTGGGGCACCTGTGCACCTGCATGCAGCCCTCCTGAGCTCCATTTTCATTGGCAGAGACACCGCAGGCCAGTCCTTCGCTGTTTCCAGGACAGCTGATCTAAGCATCCCATAGGCTAGATCCAGCCCACGGGCCTTGAGTTCGACACCTCTGCCTTAGAACCACTTAAACCACCTCTTTTCTTGGAGTTTCACATCAGCTGGAAAGGGCAAGCATGCCCAGGAAAGGAAACAGCTGCTTTAAGGTTGCCCAGCTGGTGCTGTGTGCCTGCTCCAGGTCACATTTTGTCCTTCGAATGCAGATCTCGGCACAGCTTTACTATCCACCGATCTCCGAATCAATAAAAAAAAAAAACAATGCCCAGCGCGTTCCCATCGCTGATCCCTGTCCTGCTTTTATTGCCTCTGTTCCCAGTCACCGCAGTCACCTGACTTCCCTTCAAGATGATGGATGACAAAGCCTTACTGATGTTACACTCAGGGTGGGGTTTAGAAGAAGGGAGGGATATTACTTTAATGCTAGTATAGCAAAGAACAATTTGAGCCTTTTCACTCGAGGGCTGGGGATGAAATGAAATGTCACAGGAACAAGGAAAAAAAATGTGACCAGAGCATATTTTTGTATGGTGGTATTTTCCAGTTGGTAAAAATAAAAAATCACTGGTCCCAGAAAAAAACATAATTACAGGTAGTTCTTGACTTATGACTACAATTGAGACCAGAATTTCTGTTGCTAAGTGAATTTTGCCCCATTTTAGGACCTTCCTTGGCCACCGTTGTTAGATGAATCACTGCAATTGTTAAGTTAGTAACACGGCTGGCTTTCCCACGGACTTGCTCGTTAGAAGGTCATAAAAAGATTATGACATGGCTCTTGGATGCTGGAACCGTCATAAATATGAGTCAGTCGCCAAGCATGTGAATTTTGATCATATGGCCATGGGGATGCTGCCATGGTGGTATGTCTGAAAAATGGATCAAGTCATTTTTTTTCAGTGCTGTGTTGTAACTTCAAACAGTCACTAAACGAACCGTTGTAAGACTACCTGTAACTAGTAAGGCTTGAATTTTAACAAAACGTTCTGAATGTCCCATCTATATATATTACTGCTGCAGCACATCAGATAGAGATTGGTGGGCCTTTCATAGGAACCTTTACTAGCAGATACTACAGATACTGACCTCCAGGGACAGTAGTTAAAGCTCTCAACACCCCCCCTCCCTTTCCAAAACACTTTGGCTGACTGGCTAGTGATGTGTTAAGAAGGGCAAGAGCTGAAGTGGAGGGGATGCCCAATTTTCCAACCTTATCTTGCCACGTGTTCAGAAAAGTGGTTGGTGGCCTGTTTTCCTACTACCATGAGTGGGAGAGGAAGAAACTTCAAGAAACTTATTCACTTTCTCATTTCTATTTCTTGCAACACTATTTCCTACGGTGTGGTGAATCTGTCCGTCTACAAAAGTATATACAGTAGATTAATCCTGGCTTTATTTACGCTGATAGAATGTGTTTTGTAGATTTGCAATTCCTGGGATGGGATTCCTTGCATTCACTTACTGTGCCCTCTTTTAGATGTCAAGAGCCCAGATAACAGAGGCCAGAAAAAAATGCTTTTGGAACAGAAATCTAGCAACTGCAACAGCAGGAACTCTGAGCAGAGCGTTTCTCTCAAAAACCAAAAAGAGCGAGAACAAAATTTCCTTACCTGTTTCTCTCACGATCCTACGCAAAGAGCGGTAAGCGCAGTAAACTCTTGAGGCCATTTCTCCATTCTGGATGTTAAAAGTGCTACCTCCCCCTTCTTAGGTTGGCATCAAGATGTAACCCCGTAAAATTTCTAGTCTGAGCCCTCGTGGCGCAGTGATTAGAGTGCAGTATTGCAGGCTAACTCACTGCCCACAGCCAGAAAGTTCAATCCTGACCTGCTCAAGGTTGACTCAGCCTTCTGTCCTTCCGAGGTCAGTAAAATGAGCACCCAGATTGTTGGGGACAAAATGCTGACATGGTAGACAGTTCAGAAAGTGCTAAAAAGCACTATGGAGTGGCATATAGGTCTTAAATGCTATATTAATGGCAACTTTGCAGTGCTCATGGCAAACCCCACTGCTCAGATTTGCTGGTATTTTATAGTCATTGTAGGCATGTGAATTGGGCTCCTCTGATTTTCCTGAAGGGATCCCAGAATTCCAGGTAACATGGCCAGACTCCTAATATATATGGAAGGTGAAAAATGCTGGCTGGGGAATTCTGAGAATTGAAGTCCAGAAGTCTTAAAGTTGACTGATTTGGAGACCCCACCCCCACCCCCGATCTGTGCCGTGTGGCGGCAAAGTGGTTAGAAAGTTTGGCAGTTTGATTCTTACCAGGCTCATGGTTGACTCAGCCTTCCATCCTTCCAAGGTGGGTAAAAGGAGAACCCAAATTGTTGGGGGCAATTATGCTGATTCTGTAAACCGCTTAGAGAGGGCTGTAAAGCATTGTGAAGCGGTATATAAGTCTAAGTGTCAACTCATAAAACATTTCTATGGTCTTTTTAGAGTTGCCAACAGAAAGGGAGGGGGAGCAGTGTGGCAGCTTGGAAATCGAAAGTGCATTCCATAAATAGTTTATCAGAGAGAGTAACTAGGTGACTGAAGTTTCTGCTGCGCAAATTTCTAACTGGAGAGCATGATTGATGACTCTTGGCTATGGATGTGTCTCTGGAGAATATGAATTAAGATACACCAGGGGGTGGGCGAAAACCAGGATCAAGGGTGACAATGAACAATGTGTTTCAGAGTCGGCTACACCCAGACAGCGCCAGACCTTTTCACTCCCAATAAATCCTTTTGAACTTTTGGAAGTTTGGCTCGAGACTCATGATTTAATTGGGGTAACTGCCAGAATCCTGACACTAAGTGCTATTGCTATATGCCACTGTATTCTATTCACCTTTGACTGCTCTGTAGTGATTGTTTCTCCGTACAGGCAGATGACAGACTATGCCAAAGAGAAGATTTTGAGCTGTTCGCTGCGTCCGAAGTACGCAACCCACACAGCTTCTTCTTAACGGCAGCTCAGCCTCACTCCCTCCTGTCCACATCTTCCGAGAGTGCGAATTCAGCCAAGAGCTCCTTCGCTCTTCCAGAGGAACAACGTTCTCCGCCAGCGGTCAGAACTGCTCGGCCCTGGGAGCAAAGCCTGGGGGAATCCAGAGGCAGGCAGGAGAGGTCCGAAGGCAAGAAGAAAAAATGGCCCCTGAAAAAAATGGCTACCTCCAAAAGGCCTCATCCACTTCGCCAACCGCTTGCCACCCGGGATTCCTTTGGATCAGCTGGTCTTGGCAGAAGCCCCAGCAGCTTCCTTTGGGCCGATCCGCAGCCATATCCTTTCGCCTACAAACTAAGCCCAGATCGGTGGACTTTACGGGAAGCGGAGTCCATCCCAGTGTACAACTTGCATCCTTCACAGGAGCTGCACAATTCTCACCTTCTAGATTTAGGACTCGCGACCGTAGAAAAAGCTGCCCCGGAGCCCCAGACTTCTTTTGACGTCTTAAAAAGTATCTGGAGTCCTAAACTGCCCAGTAAGGAAGCCAGATTCCCAATCTCCCAAGCTTTGGCCTGTTCTTCTTCCTTGGCTCACTTGCCACTGCCTTCCCGAGAGCTGAACTCAGAACAAGGGCAGCCGAAGGAATTTTTCCAGCTCAACGTCATCACCCAACAGCCTCATTCCTTTTACAGGCAGTGTTTTCAGCCAGAAATCTCTTCACCCAACAGGCCCCCTCAGCTGAAGAACGGACTCTCCGCGCGAGGAAAACCTAGGCTCTATTACCAGAAGGTCTCTGCCGAGCAGGGGAAAACCTCACACAATTACCAGTTCTGGGGGTTGGCAGAGGCCTCTGAGAAAATGCCGAGTTCTAGAGAAAAAAGAGCTCCCAGACCCGGGAGCCAGATGTGTAGTCTGGAGAGGCTGCTTCATTTGGGAAGCGCACAACAGCTGCAAGTTTTACAGCAACTGCCCATGTCTTATTTCCCCCCTTCTGAAGCTTTAGACAAGGGGAAATCTCCTCTCTGCACTTTACAGGGCCACCTGTGGGGCCAAGCCAGCCCTGAACCCTGGGCCTTCCCGAGAATGAAGTTGTACTGAAAACTGCATTGTTAAGAGAAGCTTGGAAAAGAGAAAGAAAGAAAATCACTCAGCATGAATAGGAGAATGGGAACTAGCATTAGCCACATTGAACCTATAATTGCATCTCTCTCGATCATTTTGTTCTGTGATTTTTTTTCCCGTCATTTTTTTTTTTAAAGCCCATTTTCTCACAGAAAGTCACTCACAGAATTATAGTCTCCTTTTTCCCCCCCCAGGTAAGCCAGCCCCGTGAGGCGATTGCTTTCCAAGAGAAGATGAGGGTTTGGTTCTCTTTTCATTGTGTTATGATGAGGCACAAAAAATCACATTACCAATCTTCATTAAATTACATTCTAAGAAACACAATGCCGTTCTCTTGCTGTTTTTGAAGGGAGGGAAACAATTCAACTGATTTTATTTTTTTCACAGGGCAGGAATAAAGCTCCATCACCATATCACAAGGATACTTTTGATAGGGTTTGGTTTGGATTGTCGTTCTGAAGCTTTTGATGCCTCGCGTCCCTTTTGCAATGATAGGGTGTGCTGTAGTGTTGACTTCTACAACGTTAGGTCTGCAGCCACTGTTCATGATATGGGGAGGGATGTGCAGATTTCAGGTTGCAAGAAGTGACATAAAAACATTTGCATTTGCATAATTAAGTATTTACTTTACTCTTAAGAAGTAAAGGAACACTTTTGATCACCTAACCATGGGGATGTTATAATAGTTGTTAAGTATGAAAAATGTGTCATGCCCCTGTTGGAGTCTGAATCTGAGGAGGAAGCAGCTGACAGAGAATGGGAGTGTGGCTCCGTTGGCTGTGGAGGAAACTGGGGAAGGGCAAAATCTGGCTGGGCAGTGCAGGGAAGAGGGAGGGACAAGGGAGAGGGAGTTCAGAGGAAGACCCAGGCCCACCCCGTTTTCATCCTAAGGCACGCAGGGAGGAATGGAGAAGAGAGCAACATGGGTTGCATGGCTTATGGGGGAGGAAAGGGCCCTGATTTCCTTCATTAGCCACAGCTGGGAAGACAGTTGATAAGAAAGTCAGGCTGCGTGCGGCAGACTGCTTGGAGCAAACATGACTTTATCCTGTGTTGTCGTGGCTTATCTGTGTTCCTGGCATCTTCCCAACCCTGTGAGTTTTGCCGTTTCTTCAAGTTTGAAATTCTTGCTCCTGCCCTGCCAAACTAATTACTTCAGTTTGGCTTGTTTGGACTTTAAGTTACAGTTTGTGTTGCTCATGTTTTGGACTTAATTTTCTGCAGTCAAAGGCTGTTCCTGGGAGAGTTTTTCTCCAGCCAGAAGGTAACCTGGGCATTGGGGGTGAAGTTGAAGATAATAAAGGGACTCTTATTGCTTATCTGACTGTGTTGCCTTCGTGCCACGCCCCTTTGGGTCATCACAAAATAGTTATAAGTCATGTTTCTCAGAGCCATTGTCACTTTGAACAGTCACTAAATGAGCTGTTGTAAGTCGAGTACTACCTGTACTAGCAGAGAAACCTAATATTTTTCCCTGGTCTATTTTGTTTCCACGAGCAACGGGGTACAGTTCTTTTACTGCCACACAAAACCACATTTGAGGCCATTCGTGCATCCATCTTGGAAGATTCTCCCTGGATGGCCTTGTTTCTCGCCTTGGTGTTCCTGCTCGGTATGCAAGCATCACACTCTTAATTCATTGGTTTCCCCCCCACCCCTCCTTCCTACCAGGAGAATACTTGAACAGATTATATCTCAGTTAATGATGCTAGATGAGTAAACCACCGCAGCAATAAGTTTAGGGAGGAGTGGGAATTGCTCATCGAAGAATCGGTGCCAGAACTTGTCTAAACAAACAGAGGAAATCGCAGTAATTGAACACATTATACTGAAACCGATTTTCAAGCTAAAGGAATTTGGAAATAGACTGCTCTGCCTTTGGAAGTCACGGGTGGTTAGAGATGATATGTCACTTGCAAACGATTACACTCATCTTCTGCAGATGAATTCCCCCCCCCAAAAAAAGAATACAAATTTGTCTTTGGACAGAAGCCAGTACTGTAGAGACTTCCATGTAAGGATCTCTGAATTGGCCTCCATTGATGAGGAAGTGCTTCAAAGGGGGAAATCCTTCAGGAAAAGGATTACAGATTAACAGAGTTGGAAGGGACCTTGTAGGTCATCTAGTCCAAGACGCACACCCCACCCAAGCGGGAGAATTTCTGCTGTTAAGCAAGCTGGATGTTAAGTAAGCCCTACTCAATTGCGTAACCTATTTATTTATTTTTATTTATTTTAATTTTATTTGGTTTGTCAATTACTTACAAGATAATAGGTACAAGTAAAAACATAGTTATGAATACATGGATACCTATAAGAAAAATAAAAAAAGAAAGAATAGGACAGGGACGGTAGGCACGTTGGTGCGCTTATACACGCCCCCTACAGACCTCTTAGGAAAGGGGTGAGGTCAATAGTAGAAAGTCTTAAGGTTAAAGTTTTAAAGAATTTGCCATGGTTGTGGAGTGAATCCAGTTCCCCTCTGACTTTCCTTGTCAGGACTGGCTGGGAAGATCACAAATAGTGATCACGTGATCTGGGAAGCTGCAACTGTCATGTGCCAGTTGCCAAACACCCGAGTCTTGATCACATGACCATGGGAATACTGGGTCAGTTGTAAGTGTGAGGACCAGTTGTAAGTAACTGTCTTCGGTGTCATTGTAACTTTATACGGTCACTAAACAAACAGCTGTAAGTCAAGAATACCTCTACTAAATGAAAGTTCACAAGTGTTTGTAACTGTTGCCATGAATTTACTTGGATGTGTAATTTTGCTCACAGAGATCATTCTACTAGTCCTTCTCACAAATGCATGAAGATTAAACGGAATTATCCCATTTCCATGACTTTTAATTTTTTGAAGTTGGCATACACAATTGCTAAACCACTTAAAATCTTGTTGGTGATTCTCCACATTTCACTACAGAAGCTTATATTAATAAAAATGATTCATTTTTATTCATTCAGTCCATTCATTTCATATCATAAACTAGAGTAGTTCAACACATTTCACATGTCAGGCTAGCCTTAAATGGGGTTGAGATACATACGTGAACCACATTTAGCCGTGATTGGGTAAATTTGGGCATCATCGCATCATATGTGAAGGCATGTTTTGCACGTCCATTTGCCAACAGACCAGTTTCCCCTGGAGGAACTACACAGTGAAAATGAATTTAAAGTTACCTGTTGCATGAGAACATCAGAAACCTGAGGCTCTAATGTTAATGATAATACCAAACAATAAAAAAAAGCTCTGATCCAACCAGTTTTTGTCTAACCAGGTATATTTTTATATGTTTGTCACATATTCTACACATAATGTCAACTCATAAAATATTTCTATGGTCTTTTTAGAATTGCCAACAGAAAAGGAGGGAGGAGCAGTGCAGCAGCTTGCAAAACCGAAACTGCATTCCATAAATGTTTTCATATATAGTTTCCAGGCGACTGAAGTTTCTGCCATGCAAATTTCTAACTGGAGAGTATGACGGATGACTCTTGGCTATGGATGTGTCCCATTGGAGAATATGAATTATGATATACCCAGGGGGTGGGGGAAAACCAGGCTCAAGGGTGACAGTAAATGATGTGTCTCAGAGTCAGCTACACCCAAGTAGCACCGGCATGTCTTCTCATAAATCTTTGAGCTTTGAAAATCCGGCTAGAGACTTAATGTTTTAAATGGGGGTCACTACCAGAGCCCTGACACATGATCATTAACAGATGGAGGAAGGAAAAAGTGCATGGAAACAGGCCATCTTACAACACTTCAATATTCCACCACGCCATTCTTCCGTGTGTCCCAAATGGATTCAGGGTAGCAACAAGCTCGTATCTGACGTCTCTTCTTGATCAAACCACTCGGTCATTTTCTCCTCTTTGTCCTCTGAATTACTGGCCTTCAGGGCCATCCTCAACTTAGCCCAGAACAACCGCTGAGCCTCTGGATCCGGAGACCACGCAATGTAGGTCTTCTTCAGCATCACTTTCCGCATCCGGTGATAGGCAGACAGCTCCCTCTCAGGGATGGCTTCTAGGATAACAGGAATAAGGACGTCTTTCAGTTCATCAAAAAGCCGGTAGCTGGCAAGCTGAATCTCCATGGAGCACCATTCACTCTGCAGGTACTTCCTGCTGATAATACAAATGGTGTGTCGGCTATTGTGGATGCTGTCTACTATATTGTCTATTATGTATCTCCCGGGCTGAAAGTCTCGATGATGGAGGCAAAGCCGGAAGGTGGGAGCTCCTGCTTTCTCTAGACTGGGCACCAACTGTTTGAGCACCCAGCTCTCGTCCGCGGAGTTGTAGGAGACGAAGGCGTCGAATTTGTAGTGCTCGTCTTTGCCTCGCCTCCAGTAATCGTTGACCCAAGCGCGCAAGATGTAGATGTGATACTTGATGTGCCAGTAGCTGCGGTGGTAAAGGAAAGGTAGCAGCATGGAGAGCAGCAAAACTGGGAAGGTGGTGGAGAACAGGTAGAGCCCAATGTCTTGGAAGCAGACATGGGTATCAAAGCTGTAAACGTAACTAGGCTGCGGTCCAGAATTGCAAGAATAATTGTAGAGGTAGACCACCTGCACCCGTTTATTGCTCAGCCAATTCTGGAACCAAATATTATTGCAGGTGCAAGCCAAAGGGCACTTGCGTAGGTCGAGGTAGCTGAGTGACGGAAGAGCTTCCGCCACGCTGCTGTTGAACGTCCGCAGCTCATTCTTCCCTAACATAAGATAGCGCAGGTTGCTAAGGTTGCCAAAGACCTCCAGAGTCAGGGTGCGAAGCCCAGCGTTCTCCAGATTGAGATTTCTCAAGTTCTTCAGGTTCTTGAATATCCCAGGGGGGAAATCCCCCCTGCCGTTGCTGGTATCGGACAAGGTTAGAAGTTCCAGCTGCCCTAAGTCATCAAAGACATCCGGGGCAATAGACAGAATTTTGTTCTCTGACAGGTAGAGGTTGCGCAAAGAGGTCAGGCCCTTGAGGAACATGGAGGGAATGACTCTCAAACCGTGGGGTTGCTGAGACTGAAGTTTGAGGTCGTAGACTCTGCCCAGGTTCCCAAAGGGGGGTTGCTTGAGCTGATTCTTGCTGATAAAGTATATCTTATTCCCCATCAGATCTAGCACTTGGAGCGTCCTCTCAATTGGATGGAAAAAACTAGGGCTAATGTACTGGAGGTTGTTGTTATCCAGGTAGAGATTGGAAAGGTTCTTCAGCCCTTCGAAGGACACATTGGACAGCTGGTGGATATTGTTTCCCCCGAGATCCAAAATCGACAGCTTCCCGAGACTCTTGAAGGTGCCGGGGAAGAGAACCGAAACATGGTTGTTTCTGAGATTGAGGACCTGGAGGTTGCTCAGGTCACTAAAGCTGTCGTTGTAGATATCCGTCAGAAGGTTGTTATCCAAACGCAACTCCCTGAGTTGTTTCAAACCCTTCAGGGCTTTTGCGTGGAGGAAGGCAATGCTGTTGATGTTTAGATGGAGCGTGGTCAAATGAGGGGCGTAGTGGAAAGCTGAACTTTTGATCGAGAGGATGCGGTTGAAACGGAAAGAAATGGTTGTCAGCTCCGGGAAGGGAGCTGTTTTCTGGCAACCCTTCAGGTGTTTCAACAAATTGTGCTCCAACAACAACTTACTCAAATGGCTTTGCGCCGTGGCGTTCAACATTTGCCTCATACAGTCCACTGACCGGAGCCGATTCCTGGAAAGGTCTAGGAGCTGGATGGGAGGACAATCTAGGAAAGCTTGGTAACTCAGGTTCCTCAGGTTATTGCTCTGCAGATGGAGGTCGAAAGGACGGTTGGATTTCCTAAGATGCTGGCACACCTTGGTCAGCTGGGAAACTTTGTTTAAATGCAACCCAGAGTAATCCAAGCTGCGAGGCTTCAGGTCAGACATATCCAAGAGCTGGAGAATGTCGATGTTGTTCCCCACCAACTTTAATCTTTGGAGTCTTTGAAGGCTAACATTAGCAAAAAAAGAGGCATCTGAAAACTTGTTGTAAGAGAGGTCCAGCACCGTGACGTTCCCCAGGAATCTCGGCCCCGGACCTTCCATCTTACAAAGGGAATTGTTGCAGAGCTTAAGGTTATACAAGGAAGGAGGAAACCCCACTCCCAGCTGAAGGAAACTCAGATTATTGTTGCAAAGGTTGAGGTATTTCAGCTGGTTTAATTTCTGCACGCTCCGAATCACGACATCAAAACTGTTCAAGTTGTTGAACTGGAGCTGCAAATCTAGAAGGCTGGGTAAGGGGCTAAAGGCCTCCAGATGGAGCACGCTCAAGTGATTATTGTGCAAGAGAAGGAGGGTGAGGTTTGCCAAGCCAAGGAAAATGCCTTTGGAAAGATTGGTGAGATGGTTACAGGAGAGATTGAGCCTCTCTAAAGCCCCGAGGTTTGCAAAGGCCCCCGCTTCTATTTTCTCCATTTTGTTGTAGCTCAGCTGCAAGTTCTTCAGTTGAGGAAGGTGACGGAAGCTCCCATAAGGCAAGACTGGGATGGTGTTATGCGATGCGTTGACCACTTCGGCGCTATGAGGGAGGTCATCTACAATACTGGAGATATTGTTCAGGAAACGCTGCATGCACTTGAAATACGAAGGATCCTTCATGTCTTGGATGCAATTTCTGAAGCCGTAAGCGGTTATCCCCTGAGGGTTAAAGAGGACAAAAGCCAAGAAAAGATGTATGCAGTTCATTTGGCCCATGGCTGAACAGGGTTTTTTTTCCAATCCCCAACCTCTGAATCAGTGCTGATACCTAGAACCAAAACACAAACAAACAACACGAATGTTTAAAAAACACTTCTAGGTGCACCAATTAGGCCATCAGGGTTTTTTTTTAATGGTAGTGACTGAACAGAAGGTGAAGACTTTTTAAGGTGCAATTTCTACTAACAATTATAATTGAAATACTACTACTACTACTACCACTACCACTACTACTACTACTACTACTACTAATAATAATAATAATCAATTGAAGGTCAACCAACTCAGAGTAGCCTGCATTATTTCCCCTAGCTTCCATTCACGGGTCTTTTGACCCAGGCTTCATCAAACTTAATTAAACACAAACTTGTTTTAAAAGCAAAACCTATTTTAATGCAACGCTGGGAATTATTTTCAGTCACAGCCAAAACTAACTTAAACAGATAAGCACACACCTGTCAGTGCTGTAGAATGCTGCCAAAAACAGAAGTATCCAAATTAATTATAACAGTACCAGAAAAAAAAACGACCAGAATACACAGAGCTTCAAAAAGGACCCAAAATCTATTGAACTGCTTTGCTTCCTGCAAAGTTTTCGTCATTGAGGTCTGACTTTTATCCCTTATGGGAGGGGCAATCACCTCCCAGCCTTACACCCGAGTCACCCCTTCTGTTTCAACTGCTCTCGCCTTCTAGCGGCTCTGCGCACACGCGCTCTGGGAACAGGCCAGAGGTGGTATTCAGCGGAAATTTTGAGAAGTTTGGAAAACCGGCAAATATCATCTCTGACTGGAGATTTTACAGTATCCTTCCCCTGCCACCCCCACCAAGCCACCCCCACAGAACCAGTAGTAAAAAAAATTGAATCCCATCTCTGGAGCAGGCTCCCCTGGGTCCTCTGCTTCACTGCTGCCAGAATCTGAAGGCTCCAGAGGCAGCACCCCACTCCCAGATGGCCCTGGCCCCATCCCTGCATCGGATGCAGGACCCTCGTCCGAGTCCTCCCTGGACTCCCGGACTGGTCCCCTTTTGTCCTCACTGTCAAATACCTCTGCTGTCTGCACTGGCTGCCGGCGAACCACAACAACGGGTGCAAAGTAACTGTGGCAAGAAAGAATTAAAACGGGAAAACCATGCAGGTGGTGAGAGCCCCTTTAGTTGGGTGGTAATCAGCAGGACAAAAATGGGGAAAGTATTAAGCAGATTGCTGATTTTCCACTCCACCTGCAATCTCTCAAAGCTGTTTTAAAAAAAAAAGTATAAAACATGCCTATTTATACATCACACGGACTGAAAAACCCTGGATACCCCAGTTTAAAAAAAAAGCACTTGAACGTAATTTCTAACCGTGGGCAAAGAATGCTTTTAATTCTTTCTGTGGGTAGATTTACATTGACATCCATTATTTTATTTGAGGGGGGGGGGATGTGATATGCATTAAAATAAAGTAAGGTTCGATCCTGTACCCCCTCCCACCTTGGTTTTACCAAGGCTCTTTCCAATGTGGGCTGAAGTTTCTGCAATTAATCAACTTTTTTTGTTGCCCCATATGCAAGATAAAAAACACACACACCAGCTGCTTGCTTGCTTTTCGCATATGGCAATTGACGCTGTGTGGTGCACAACAAGTGGCAAATATGATTTTCTGGATCTCTGCTTGAGGTCTCACTCTTTCCTCACTGTTCAGTCTGTCTCTACTATTTTTGCACACTGAGCAAGAACTTCATAGCTCTAAACCCGTATTTCTCAAACTCAGTAAGTTTTAAGTTGCGTCGACTTCAACTCCCAGATTTCCACAGCCAGCTACACTATGCTAGTTGAGGAATTCCTGGAATTGATGTCCACACATCTTAACATTGTTGAAGTTGACAAACAGAGATAGATACAGATTAACAGAGTTGAAAGGGACCTTTAGATCATCTAGTCCAACCCCTCGCCCAAGCAGGAGACTCTACACCATTTCTGAAAGAGGGCAGTCCAGTCTCTTCTTGAAAGCTTCCAGGGATGAAACTCCCACAACTTCCGAAGGGAAATTCTGTTCCGTTGGTTGAGAGTCCTAGAAGTTTTTTGAGAGCCAGTTTGGCCTGCCTGCCTGCCTGCCTGCCTGCTTCATTCTCAAACCAGCAATATCAGGCACTCACGACTGCAAGTTCTAAAGTATCTTTGCCCAACCTAAAACACACAAATTCTTCCAGACAGACAAGAGGCCACTCACAGCCTTTTGCAAATATTGTAATACTGAATCCACAAGCCCGAAGGAGTCCTTGCTCTCTTCTTCTTATTATTCTTTTAAAAAGCATAAACTACCTAGCAAACACCAATGTGCCTACCATCCCTGTCCTATTGTTTCTTTTTATTTTTCTTATATGTATCTATTTCATGTACTCATAACTATGTCTATACTTACACCTGTAATCTTATAACCACTTGACAAAATAAATAAATAAATAAATAAAACAATGAGAAGCTCTGACCTGTTTTTCTCCATATGCCTCAGGTCTCCACTAATACAGCAAGCTCAGCTTCAGGCGAGTAGACGCTAAAATAACTTTTCCTGCCATATGTGCGAAAGTTTAAAAATGCATTCTGCTTATACAGTCATTAAGAGGGAAGTGAACTAAGTTTCTGTTTTCGCTTTTCTGGCAGCCCCAATGTGTTCTCTTTTACAGTCAGCGAGGCAGTGGATAATAGCAGAAGCTGTGATTTGGGGTGTTGCTGGTGAAGAGGGAAAGCAGTAGCACCCAACATATATGGACAAATAATTATGCAGAGTTTGTGCAGGTTCTTCTCACATTCTGGTAGTCCTCTATTTACGAACACAGTGGCGGTCAAAAATTTCTGTTTCTAAGTGAGATGGTTATTAAGTGACTTTTGCCCCACTTTATGACCTTTCTTGCCACAGTGGATAAGTGAATAACTGCAGTTGTTAAGTTAGAAACAGGGTTGTTACGTGAATCTGGCTACCCCAATGACTTTGCTTGTCCGAACAGAACAGAATAGTTGGAAGGGACCTTGGAGGTCTTCTAGTCCAACCCTCTGCCTAGGCAGGAAACCCTACACCACTTCAGACAAATGGTTATCCAACATCTTTTTAAAAAACTTCCAGTATTGGAGCATTTACAACTTCTGGAAGCAAGTTGTTCCACTGGTTAATTGTTCTAACAGTCAGGAAATGTCTCCTTAGTTCTAAGTTGCTTCTCTCCTTGATTAGTTTCCATCCGTTGCTTCTTGTCCTGGCCTCTGGTGCTTTGGAGAATAGCTTGACTCCCTCTTCTTTGGGGCAGCCCCTGAGATATTGGAACACTGCTGTTATGTCACCCCAGTCTTTCTTTTCATTAAACTAGACATCCCCAATTCCTGCAACCATTCTTCATATGTTTTAGCCTCCAGCCCTCTAATCCTCTTTGTTCCTCTTCTCTGCATTCTTTCAAGAATCTCAACCTCATTTTTATAATATACTGACCAAAACTGGATACAATATTCTGAGTGTCAGAAGTTTGCAAAAGGTGACAATTAAAAGCATGGTTACCTAGTCAGACTATCTAAGTGGATTTTACAGCATCCAAGAGATACTTGCATGGTATCTCCTTCCCCACTTTTAAATAAGAAGAGATCAATTGGTTGATCTTTTTAATCTCAGTTTTATTCCATTAATGGAATTGGATAACACTCATATGGCTTCAGATAATAAGGGCGCTTAGCGAATGAAGCTTGGCTGGCTACAGTTGGCTCACGAGGTAGATCTATTTTCCCAAAACATGATTTGGTTTTAACAAAACAACCTGTTGTAATGATGGGGCAGTCGAGTTGTTTGATCATGAACAACTGAATCATGATGATCTTTATTGGAGTCTAGTCTTGCATTTATACACATTTTTAGTTATCCTCCATCACTGGTTAACTTTGGTTACTGCTTAACTTTCGTTACTGTTTAGCACAGTCATCCATACAATTAATTATCTCTAGTTAAAGTCTAACATATGTTTACTTCCTCTCTCTAATCCTCTTTTAGATTAGTGACTTTGTTTACCTGAGTTGTATTTGCTTGGAAACATTCTTTATCTGAGGTTTGCCATCCGAGATTGGAACATTCCTGCAATTACAACTCTACAACAACCCTCTTTCCCCCCCCCTCAAAAAACCCCGCTTTCTGTTCTAGAATTTCCAGTATGCACTATATTTCACTTTTTAAAGCCTTACCGAGCAAAAAAAAACATATGAGGGTAATGTCATTCTAGATGAGCTGCAGGTTTCCAAGGATGGGGCTAGCAGCATTTTGACTTTTTGCAACAGAACTCCAAGAGTCACCATTCTCAGAAGATCAAATGGAGAAGTCGCTCCCTGATTCAATCATTCAACTGATTTGAGAATACAGAATACGGATGTGATAATAGGAAGTTCGGGAGTGACAGCATTTCTGCAGATGTTGAGGTTCCTAATTGGGACGAGAGGCCTGGCATGGCCGTTGTAAAGAAAAGATAGCCTTCTACCTTGAGTTGGCATGTGGACAGCTTTGGTTTTGAACTCTGCACTCTAGCCTGGAAGATACCCCAGGAGCTGCCCCACTGGATAAAGGGGTCCTAAGTGCTCTCTGAGCTTGGTTGTTTTCTTGCAGGCATTTCATTACCAAACTAGGTAACTTCATCAGTGCTAGAAGGGAGGAGGAGAGTGGGGTCCTTAGTGCTCTTTGAGCTTGGTTGTTTTCTTGCAGGCATTTCATTACCAAACTAGGTAACTTCATCAGTGCTAGAAGGGAGGAGGAGAGTGGGGTCCTTAGTGTTCTCTGAGCTTGGTTGCTTTCTTGCAGACATTTCATTATCATACTAGGTAACTTCATCAGTGCTAGAAGGGGAGAAGAGGAGGAGGAGGAGGAAGGGGAGGAGGTGAAGGAGAGTGGGGTCCTCTCTTTGCTTGGTTGCAGACATTTCATTATCAAACTAGGTAACATCATCAGTTCCAAAAGGGAGTGGGGTTTGCTCTTTGATTATAAAATATTAGAAGACATTCTGTATTTACCAGAATTTCCTGTATTAGGAGAATGAGATCAGTACTCTGGTCATTACCAAGTCAGAATTAATGGAATAGCTATAGAAACACGGCAAGCCACAAAAGAAGAAGTGGCAAAGATTCTCCCCAAACCATACCAGCAAATTTAGTCAATGAAATAGCAGTAAACAGACTGGAAAACATCAATCTAAACATTAGCTCAAAGAAACGAAACTAAACAGAATGTTCAAACTGTTGCACAACTATCCTTAATTTAACAAGCTAGAAAAATAACCCTTTGAACCATCTAACAAAAGAACAAGAGACATCATTGCTTAATGCATTGGATAACTGAGAAAGCGAACGAATAACAACAGGGGGGCGAAACCCAATACATTTCCACTGATTGTAAAAATAGTTTGATTTTATCGATCATATTAATTAAACTACAGACTGTCTAGAAGAATGAATATTCCAGAACATATTGGTTTTGCCATATTCCATCTGTCCACAACACAGAAAGCCATAATCCAGATGGAAAATGGCAAAACCACGATGGCCCCAGATTTGACAAAGGACAGACGTAGGCCTCTCTATTCTTTCCAAATTTATTCAAGCTGTATGCTGAATATATACTGGGAGAGGCTGGACTTTGAGAAGATGAGCATGGTTTTAAACTTGGAGGAAGAAACAACAACGATATATGCTCCGCCAGTGCCACCGACCTGATAATTAAAATGCAAACGATGTGGAAGTTCTAGAAATGCAAATCGAGGCATACAGGGGAAATACAGTAAATTTAAACATGATTTTCCAAAGTCCCTGAAGGCAGGAGAAGTAGAAATGAATGGAAACTAATCAAGGAGAGAAGCAACCTGGAATTAAGGAGAAACTTCCTGACAGATAATCAGAGTTGGAAGGGACCTTGTAGGTCATCTAGTCCAACCCCCTGCCTAAGCAGGAGAGCCTACTGAGAACAATCAATCAGTTTGAAGTTGTGGGTGCTCAAACACTGGAGGTTTTTAAAAAGAGACTGGACAGCCATTTGTCTCAAATGGTATAGGGTCTCCTGCTTGAACAGGGGGTTGGACTAGAAGACCTCTCGGGTCCCTTCCAGCATTATTCTGAGTGATTGTTGAAATTACTCTACTGCAGAGAAAAGGTACGACAACTAACCTCAGAATTGTCTGAATGCACCAGCTGATTTTGCCACATATGAGGAATTATTCTTCCCTTAGGCTAAAGCCGTATTTCTCAACCATGTCAACTTTAAAATATAGTGCAGGGATGCTGGCTGGGGAATTTGGGGAGCTGAAGTCCACTTATCTTCAAGTTTGGGCACATCGAGCTCAACGTAAGGGAGGAAAACTGCCCTGCCATATGGAGGCTCATCCAAAGTTATAAGAATTAGATTCACTTTGCTTGATAGGATGGGATCCCTGGCTTAGGGTCTTTACAATGGCACTGAAGGATAGGATAGGACAACATGCTCAGTTTATACTTTTATTGTGTCTTTTTTATGTTGTTTTACTTTAGATTGGAAGCCGGGAGTTGGTTATAAGACAGGAGGCTGTATAAACATTCACGTCAATAAACAGAACTCAGATCAGTAAAACTTGATCAACTCAAAAACTCCATAAATAAAACTCAGAGAAACAAACAAAGCCCCAAGCTCCAGCCCCACCTTTGCATTGTCTGTAATTTTTCCCCCCACCCTGGGAAAGGATACAGGGACAGCCATTGACCCTGGAGGAGCACAGGTAGTCCTCTACTTATAACCACTTCGCAGGTGATCGAAAAAGGGACTTATGACCCATCCTCACGCTTACGACTGTGTAATTCAGGTCTGTCTGTAAACTCGACGGGCAAGACAGCCTGACTCCTTGGTGAAGTCTCGCTCATCCCTGTTATCTCATTCCCCCCACCACCAAAAAAAAAAAAAATGCAATGGAGAGGATAGTAAAGCCTTAGTAAGACCACACCTCTAGAGTACTGCATCCAGTTTTGGTCACCACACTATAAAAAAGATGTTGAGACTCTAGAAAGAGGGCAGAGAAGAGCAACCAGGATGATGAGGGGACTGGAGGCTAAAACATACGATGAACGGTTGCAGGAACTGGGCTTGGCTAGTCTAGTAAAGAGAAGGACCAGGGGACACAGGAGAGCAGTCTTCCAATATCTGAGGGGCTGCCACAGGGAGGAGGAAGGGGTCAAGCTATTTTCTAAAGCATCTGAAGGCCAGACAAGGAATAATGGATGGAAACTGAACAAGGAGAGATTCAACCTGGAAATAAGGAGGAACTTTCTGACAGGGAGAACAATGAAACTGTAGGAAGTTAGCACCCACCCCTCTCCTAGAAAATTGAAATATCCTAGGAAATATTAAAAAGGCAGAATATTTCCTCTAAAAAAAGAGTAGAAACTCACCTCAGAAGTAGAAGCTCACCCCACCTTTGTTAATGGGTGGGCCATTAAGGCCTGGGCCAGAATGCTTTACATAGCAAAGATCTCCAGGTAAAGCTATAGCAATTGCTCAAAAGCACTTCTTGAGCTTTTCCTTCCTCTTGAAGCATGTGATCTTCCTTTTCGCTTTGGAGCTTCAAGCCACGCGGTCCTCCTGTCCACCATTCCACCTTCCAAACAGCTTCCATGTTTCCAGTGTCTTTTTCCCCCCACTTGGAACTGAATCCCAGAAGGATTTTCCTTCCAACAAACCCATGGAACAGAAGTTGCCTTGGGAAGTTGTGGGAGCTTCATCCCTGGAGGCTTTCAAGAAGAGGCTGGGCTGCCACATGTCAGAAATGGTGCAGGATCTCCTGTTTGGGCAAGGGGTTAGACTAGATGACCTACAAGGCCCCTTCCCACTCTGATTATCCTGTTTAGGTTAGGAAGTCCTACACAGGACCTCCCCCCTCTCTTTCTCCCTTCCCACCCAAAGGAGAGAAGTTGGTTGGTGGTGGGGTGGATAGTAAGTGGGTGTTTTTTTTTACTCCTGGTCTACGCAGCGCCTCCTCCGTCTCCCAGTCAGGCTCGGGCTGAGAAAGGGGGAGAGAAAGGGGGCGGGTGGGTGGGTGGGAAACGGAGATCGTATCTCTTTAAACGGGAGCGCGCAGGGAAAGGGAGCCCAGCCAGCGGAGAGCTGGCCGGAGGAGGGTTGAGGATGGAGCCGTCCCAGCCTCTGCGACGGCTCCCTGGGGCTCGGAGGCTGCAGCTCCTGCTATTGATGCTGCTGCCTGAATGGTGTTGGGGCAAATACGTGAAAGGCAACCTTAGCACCAAGGAGGTGAGTCTGCAGGGGGGGGGGGGGGGGGAATTTTCCTGGGAGGGGGGGGGGGGGGGGGGGGGGGGGACAAACCCGGGGGGGGGCCCCCCCCCCCCCCTTCTGGCCTGGGCCTCCATAGCCGTGCCCGGCTTCTCAAGCTGCCATCTCAGCCTTTGCCACCTTCTGCGGGTGGTCCCGGCTGTGAGGGGGCAGGGGAGGTGTGTGTGTGTGTGTGTGTGCCCCCCCCCCCGACTCCCAACCCACCCTGGAGATCCCTTCGTCCTTCTCTCCCTCCCCACATATCCCCCTTTCATCACCCACTGAGATCCTTGCTTGGACCACCCCAGGAAGATCACACTGTCTCTTTAGTTGGTCCTTCCCACCCACCCCTCTTTTTTTAAATCTCCCCCTCCCCCCCCCCCCACCAACCCTATGGGTTCTCTCCCTGCCCAGCCCCCTCTTCCCTCCCAGGGGGGGTTCTTTTTCTGGACTGTAAGGAGGAGGAGGAGGAGGAGGAGGAGGAGGAGGAGGTGAGACCGGACAAAAGATTCTTACAAAAGATTCAGGAGCCCCTCCTCCCCATCTTAGCCGGGTGGGGAAAATGGTGCCTAATAATTCCAAATTCCAGACTGCAGGTGTCTTTGGCAGGCTCTGGCCTTTGGGGTGTGCCTGACACCTCCACTTCCAGGCTTGGAAGCAATGTTTGCCACCACGGTGAATCTCGGATACAAAGCTGGACAAGATGTGTTGTATGCATGCAGACAGGGTGTGTATGTGTATAGGTATATGTATGTATGTGTGTGTGTGTAATGTGTATCTATATGCGTGTGTGTGTATAAA